GATAACGGCTGCGCGGTCAGCAGTTCCTACAGTCCCCCTTCTCCCCGGGTTGTGTCTGACTTCACAGACATAAACATCTTAGAAGGCAGGAAAGGAGACAGTGAGGGCATCCAAGCCCTCTCCTCTTATATCAGTTTCCTTCTTTGTATTATAAGTGACAGAGGCACCTGCAGAGGTTAAATGGCTTAGAATCAGAGAACTATTAGAAAATGGAGTGAATGTGAGTAGGATTTTTAACTCAAAATGACAAGCTACACCTTTAGCTCATCCCCTTGTCACTGAACTAACAAAACACAAACATTTTAAATCAGAATTAGTCTACTGCAGTCCCCATAATAAGGAAGCTTCTCATCAGTGGGAAAGAAACCCTGAGGAATCTCTGGAAAATATAAAGAAGGTGGAATGCAGTGGCTGGGAAAGCCAGTCAGAGCTGAGGCATAGACCCAGATTCACTCAGAAGAGATACTAGTGGCTGGACAGCAAAGGTCAGAAAATACCCGGAGTCCTGAGGTGGGAGGGTCTGGGAACAGAAGCAGGAGCAGACGGTGAAACAGGGACAGCGCTGGGCTGCGGAGACGCGTGCTGCTCTAAGGACAGTGACTGGCACTGTGGGCACCGGGAGCCCTACTTGTACCTGAGGTCGCCAGTGAGGCCAGGGCAGCTCTGGGCCTGCAGGGCACTTGGGCCACCGCAAGTGATAGGGAGAAAAAGAAGAGGATCCCAGCTGAGGGTAGCATTTGAATTAAAGCTTTATTCAATGCCCTTTGAAAGTTTCTAACATTGAGTCAATTTATGTTTAAAGATTACATATGTTGACACGCTTCTTGACAGATCTCAACTGTGGCATTCTCGAAAGGGTCTAAATTTGACATTGACATTAAATCTTTTTTTTTAAGTCACCTAGGAACATAATTCAACTTACAGTATCTCCATTTTAGGTGGAACTACCGTTAGGCAGAAAGGGTTTCTGACATGCCTTTGGTCTTTGTACTTGAATGGTGTTATCCTGGATTTGGGAGAAAGAGCGAACTGGTTTGGAGCACGGAACTAGGCTGCCCAGGACATGCAGTTGCCATGGGAATGTGCCTCACCGCGGAGGCCACCTACAGAGGAACACGTACAGAGAGCTTAGTCTGGAACGCCGGAATGGCAACTGTGGTAAATATAACAAAGAACAAGTATTCAGTAAACACGAGGCATTTATCAACTTTAAATACAATTTCTGGCTTTTGAATAAAAGATTTTCTGTATATTTATTCAAAATAAAATGATTCTGCCCCTGATTTCCTTTTGCATACCACCTTTAATGCCAACTGAATACAATTCATTGGGTGAAAATAGGACTCTTTCCAATCTTTTATCAGAGGAAATTTCAAACGTATGCAGAAGTGGAGAAAATAATATAATCAACTCAATGTATTTATCACCCACCTCAATAATGACCAGCTTACAACCAATCCGTTTTCCTCTTTTCCCTCCCTGTGCTTCCCTGTGTCCCTCTCTGTTTTAAAGAACTCCCAGCATCACATACTTTTATCTGTGAATATCTGACTACATATCTAAAAGATATGGAAGCTTTAAAAAAAAATTTGTCACACCCAGAACAAAACCAACAACAACCTCTTAATGTCCTCAGGGTGCTCCAAAAATTATTGCCACAGCCACGAAAATGCTCATCCTTAGTGGTAATTAGAAATGCTTACAGAAAAGAAAAATTTGTATATGTTTGCTAAAACTGTAAGATAGCAGTAAGGAGATTAGAGTACAAACAGGGTGTAGAATGTCCAAGCCACCAAGAGACCACAAGGGGTAACTGCATCCAGTTAAAGTCAAGAAGACAGAAACTAAAACAAAGAGTGGAAGGTGGCAGAAATAAAATGAACTGTATCGAAGTAAGAGAGACACTACTTGAAACAGGGACTACTGCGATTCCAACAAATTATACTTCAATATAGTTTTGATATTTTGTTAATATTTGGTAGCGTAGTCAAATCCTATTCACTTCTACTTTTAAAATTCAAGTCAACTTCACATTAGAGTTTCTTTAGACCGATTAGATACCCATATCCATGGACTATTTATTTTACTCTAAAAACAAAAAGGGGAAAAAATCTTTATAGTTGATTTTTCCTTAAAATGATGTGATTTATACTATCTGCCTTTTACAACTATTAATTGGTACCACTGATCATTATAAATAAATTCTTCAATCAATAATTAGCTCCAGAGACATAGACATCCTTTAAGCCCTAGAACCAACAGAATTATGAATCATTTGTGAAACTTTAGCAGTATTTCTTGCAATATTTCTTGCCTTTCAATATATTGATTATGCATGTAACTATATGTATGTAATTATAATTGTTTTGGCACAGTAATTAGTTATAAAGAGGAACATAACAAAACCTCACTGCTAGAGAAAATTGTAGCCTAATGAAGAGAGGATGGGAGGTTTAGAACAAGGAGGAACCTGGCAGGGCCACAAGAGGTGTGCAAACAAAAGATTATGTAAAAATTTGAGGGTGGGAATCATATTCAGATACCAAAACAAAAGAGCAAGAAGACTTCGATACGGGCTTAAGTGATGGCAATATTTCAACGGGCAGAGATGACGAGTATAAACCACGCAAATGAGTGACATTGATTCATTCATTCATTCAACATATATTGACTAAGCAAGGTATCACAGCGTTAAATTCTGGGAACACAGCTTTGAGCAAGATAGATAAGGTTCCTGGCTTCATTTGTAATGTTGTGAAGGAGAACAAGCAACAAAAAGATAACAAAAAAATAATTTTTCAGCAACAAGATAATTTCAGCTAGGGATAAAAAAAATGATGAAAGAAATAAACAAGGGGATGTGATTGACTGGGTAAGGACATGGGCAATTCTTTAGGTGGGGTGATGTAGGAAAGCCTCTCGGAAAAGGTGCATTTCAACGGAGATCTGCAAGACAGGAAGTTGCCAGAGGAAAGGCAATGAAGCGTCCAGAAGCCTGAGACAGGGTTTGTTGGGAGGAATAAGACAAAGGTCACGTGTCTGGGATGGAAAGTGTTTGGAGAGTCAGAGCACAAAAGGCCTCCACTTTCACTCTAGAAACAGTGGGGAGGCATTGAAAGGACTTAGGCAGGGCTGGCCACCATCTAATTTACATATATATAATATTATATATTTATAATATTTATAATATATTTATAATATTATATATATAAACTCTATGTATATATGGAGAGAGTTTATTCTGGTAACTGTGAGCAAAGTGGACAAGAAAGGGGCTTGTTAGAGAACAGCAGAAAGGGATAAGATGAAGTTTTTACTGAAGAAGTAAATGAGAAAAGGGAGATAGATGAATTCGGAAAGTAGATTGGGGTCATATTACAAAGGCTTGAGTGTCCTGGTGGGGAGTATGGATTTATTCTGAAACAAAGGATGTGATCATGGGTTCACTTCATGAAAACGATTTTATTAACGATATGCTGAGTGGTTTCTCACCTTCCATAAAAGAACAAAGAATTATAGATTCCTAGAATGTTAAGATTAAAAGGAAACTGAGGTTGTGCAAGGCAACTCTCTCCATTTTGTAGAGAACCATCCTAAAGGTAAAGTTGTTTAAGAAAAGGTTGAACCCACTTGCCTGGCTCCCAATGTGCTTCCACTGGACAACAGAGTTGTCTGAGGGGGGAAAGGCCAGAAACATTAAAATCACACCATGTTTATCACAATTACATTGTCCTAATTTTGCATCCTATAAATGATTCGTGCCACTTTATGGACATTGAAATCGCAATGCTTACGAAAAGTACTTGCTGCTTCTGCTACAATGCTTAGTGACCCATGTTGGGGGTGAGAGGGCAATTGGGTCTTCCAGAATCTGGGGAAAAAAGGGATTTTTCTATTGCATCTGCCAAAAGGGAGACTTCCATTTTACTTAATAAGAAGTCTGTATTAATTCGACATTTGGATGAGGTCCAAAGTCAGTTGCAGTAAATCTCGATAGCCACTGCTCATTTCAAGGCAGAGCCAGGCAGTTTGTTTATTTTAAATGTTTGCTCGATGGGTTACTCCCCTGGGAAAATGACCTTATTTTCATCTCAGGCCCAAGGGAAGCTTCTTACACTGTGGAATCTTATTCGAGGACGTGTCTGGAAAGATGAAAGTTACAGACAGTATTCTACTAGCGTGATGTGATTCACTTCATTAACAAAGTTTTTTTTTCATTTTTAAAAATAAAAGTAGGAAGACTGAGAAGTTGTAACCCTTCCTACCTTCTGCCCCTACTACCACTCTGAAAGCATTACTGAGAACTGCTCAGTGCCACCTGCACTACTGCATTCCTGTTACTTTCAGTGTCCCCAAGGTGACACAGGTAACAACCCCCATAAAGTGAAAGGAGGCAGGTGGGTCTATGAACCCTGAATGGGTGCAAAGCAGTGTGATGGGTACACCTACTACAAACAAGGCAGGCATCTGGAATGGGCAGAAAGCAAGTCTGCAGTGATCATATGTAAATGTGGGTATCGTATATAAATGTGGAGTGATCATATGTAAATGTAGGGATCATATGTAAATGTTGTCACTCCGCCTTTCTTTTCTTCATCCCTTTCTTCAAAATGCTAACAGCTAAGCAGGCGTTCCAATGCTTGCCTTTGGTTAGGAATCAGATCTCTCTTGCACGCACACTGAAGTTGTGAATACCCCTCGGGTGATAACACTTTATGCTGTCTCAGTCACTAACACAATTCTCTGCGTCAGTTAATTTTTTGACTTTTCTTAGACACCCAGCTGAGGAAGAAAACGGCAGAAAAGAAGCTTTGCAGCTGGAAGAGAAACACCATAAGGACAACTATGGAGCATCTGGCTTCACCTCCTTGAAAGGCTGAAGAGGACTGTGATAACAACATGGACATAAGCCATGATCTCAACATCCCCAGAAATTCTTGTGTCTAGAGAGTGGGTGAAGGGATGGGAAAGACAAGATGAGAAAAGAAAAATGGAAAGGGGGAGGTATAGCTCAGTGGTAGAGTGTGTGCCTATCATGCATGAGGTCCTGAATTCAATCCCCAGTACCTCCAGTAATAAATAAATAAATCTAACTACTTCCTTCCCCCAAAAAACTCAAAAAAAGGATATAAAATAGTCACTTAGTAAAATTTTTTAAAAGGCTG